CTTGAAATGGTTTTGTCAATTCTTTCGTGAGCCTTTGTTGCCTTTAAAAAGTATAAATCCTGGTTAGGTGCTTTTTACCGGTAAGATGCATTGCAACCACGGTTTCACGATGAACAGTCTGACATAGGTGACTTAATCTTATCAGAAAATTTTAGCTTAAAACTTAGTAAGGCCATTTTTAATTAAGCGGTGTTTTATTTATTTTATTTAGAAATCCATACATTGCTTCCGTATTAACTTTCAAATAATGGGTGATTTTTTTGCTAGTATCTTTTTCGCAACACTGTTTTTGACAGATGACGCGTGAATCGTGTCTTGTGTCATTGTCAAACTTGTCCAGTTTGGTCTGTAATTTAACCATGAATCGAACAACGCTTGCAAATTATTGAATTTTACTATCAAAATTCATGCTCGGTTAAGAGAGTGCATCGAGCACTGCTTCCAATTTATGGGCAATTTGGTCGGCCTACTGAGGGAGCTATTCGGAAGCTTGTGACTAAATTTCGAACCCAGTTTACATTATTGGACATTAAACCACCAACACGCAGACGTAAAGTGAGGACTGAAGAAAATATTGCGGCTGTATCCGCCAGTGTTAGTGACGACCGTGAAATGTCGATTCGCCGCCGTTCGCAGCAATTGGGCCTCTGTTAATCCACTACGTGGAAAATTTTGCGACAGGATTTGGATGTAAAACCTTATAAGATACAGCTGGTGCAAGAATTGAAGCCCACAACGTTTCCCATTTGGTGAATGGGCGCTGGCAAAGTTGGAGGAAGATCCACATTTTTATCGAAAAATTGTGTTCAGCGACGAAGCTCATTTCTGGTTGAATGAGTTCGTTAACAAGCAAAATTGCTGCATCTGGAGTGAAGACCAGCCAGAAGCATTGCAAGAGCTACCAATGCATCCCGAAAAAATCACTGTTTGGTGTGTATTATGGGCCGGTGGCATCATCAGGCCGTACTTCTTCAAAGACGACAATGGCCGGAACGTAACTGTGAATGGCGAGCGCTACCGTGCGATCCGAACAAACTTTTTTTTGCCCAAAATGGAAGAGCTGGACTTGGCTGACATGTGGTTTCAACAAGACGGTGCCACATGCCACACCGCACACGAAACAATGGCCCTATTGAGAGGCGAGTTCGGTGAACGTTTGCGGCCCGTCAATTGGCCGCCTAGATTGTGTGATTTAACGCCGTTGGACTATTTCTTGTGGGGCCATGTTAAGGCTAATGTCTACAAGGATAAACCAGCAACGATTGACGCACTGTAAGCCAATATTGAAGCATTTATTCGTGATATACCGGCCGATATGTTGGAGAGAGCGTGCCAAAATTGGACCTTGCGCACGTGCCATCTAAAGCGGAGCCGCGGCCAACATTCACATGAAATAATCTTTAAACATCAAATTATATCGACCGTTCTATCGACTCAACTAAAGATTTAATCGTTTTTTCAAATTTTTTGTGTTTTTTTTTTTGAAAATCAAATCCTATACCTCTTAAAAAATCACCCGTTACAAAGTTTGACCGAAAGTCAAATGGAAAAAATAGAGGGTATATGTTAAAAAAAGAACTTTCATTTTTGAGGACACTCTAGTGAAGGTGTTATTATAGGAATTTTACCGAATCTAGAATCAAGAAATACATGTTAAATGGTTCAAAAAATAAACAATATTACTTGATGTTAGCTGTCAATAAAAAAAAGCAGAAAGGTGCACATTACACACCCCCACAAAAAAAAATCGAGATCTCTGAGTCATACAACGATTTCGGCCACCACATGCCTGATGCGATTTTCCACACTTGACTGTCTCAAATGCTATTTCCTTGTGAACCTGATTCCATCAATAAATTTGTTTTCGAGTAAAAATTAACTATTTTATGATTCTTTTAAAACCGTCCATCCTCTCTGCCGCACCCTGTATATAAGTATTTCTCGACGCTGGATCAGAAAAGTGCCTAGACGTCTATAATTTACCCCGGACCCAAAAAACTACTCCTAGGATGCGTGAAAATCGAGTTTCGAATACCAGATGCTGGAGCATGTATTCTTCAACGCTGAATCGGAATGTGACGTCAAAAAACTTCAAAGGCACGGATGTAAATTGATGCTCGAGAGATGCATGCTACGAGTAAATCGTATTGTAGCGTTTTTCTGGGTTCTTTTGGGTGTGGTTTAAAACACTGGACTCCACAAAAAGAAATGCACTAATAGACATCTACCAAAACAAAGAAATTAATGATGATGGATCCCTCGAGCACTAAAAACTCCGGACGTAAACTTACTCCACTCTCGGAATGTCCGGGTGGAGGGTGGGCTCGAGGGAACAACATCGAAGATAAAATTTGTTTTTCGAACATCTGCGGGATCAACAGCAACATTGATGCTGTTCATCACTACCTGCAACCCAATCGTCCCGCCGTGCTTTTATTGGCGGAGACAAAAATCTCAGAGACTGCACCGATTAACCATCTCAACTTCCCAAACTACGAGGTGCACTCCAATCTGAGAAAGAACGGGGGAGTTGTGGCTTTTGTCCGCAGCAGTCTTTCCTGCTCCAGGGATCTTTCTTTGGAATCAGACCGGAAGGACATTCTGTGGCTTCGCCTCAACTCCAAAACATCACGCAAATTTATTTGCTGCCTTTATCGCTCTCCCTCGAACCATAACTGGGATGACCTACTCGAATACCTCGCCGTCCAGATCGACTTCCTGAACATCAATCACACCGCTTCAGAGGTAGTTCTTCTCGGTGATTTCAATGCCCATAATGAGCTTTGGTTGGGCTCAAATAAGACCGATGCAGCAGGTCGTGCAGTCGAAGCGTGTCAAACTTCGTACATCCAGAACTGGCCGATACGACCGCTCCTTTGCCCCGATGGTGTCTAGATTGTGGAACAATCTACGGGAGGAAGCTTTTCCCAGTTCTACTAACCTTAGGCAGTTCAAAAATCGTATTAACAAAATTTCTTTGGTATCATCATAGCAGCCGCGGTCTTCCGGCATTTAGGCTTCTGCCTGCGCGGCTGTTTCGATATAAAAAAAAAATTATTTATCTTGACTAGATAGAACATTTATGTACACCACTGTTTATATCTGACTAATTCTTATGTCGCGCCATTGACTGAACTATACTCCACTCATATGTTATAGTCCGCATCGTGGGTCGAGAAGATTCTGGTGAGCCGCATAGCGGCCTTACAGAATCGTCGAGATCACTTCGCGTCGATCTAGAGTCACTGGCACGCTCCTCGACAGAGATCGGCCATGGAGCAGCTGGCGAGTAGGAGAGTCTGGCGCTGTCCCCAACAGATGGCGCCAGCGGTACTATGTATTCTTGTTGCAGTATTGATGGACGCGATGTCGGAGCTCTGATGCAAATGGGTGAAATTTTGACAACAATGCCAAAGTTGCGTACCCTGAGCTTCTAAAGACAGAAAAACGTTGTTGAGAGCCCAAACTCAAAAATTTAATCAGTTTCTAGGCCGAAATATACTAAGTGACATATAAATCCGAACACCCAGTTTAAATGGTTTTATGTTAATAAAAGTTGGTGAATGTATTTATCTTACTGTAAATAACAAGTGAAAAAATTGTCAGCCTTATCAGTTGGACATTCCGGTTTTTATACTGTTTTTTTTTTAATTCACTAACGCTCTAAAAATGAATATTTCAGCCGCAGTAAAGAATCAACGTTGGCGGATTTTGGTTCTTGACATCCTTTACGATCGGTTACGATGCCTAGAGTACGGAGACCTGTACGATTTCGTCAACTTAGTGAGTTTGATAGGGGCCGTATAGTGCTACTTCGGGAAGCTGGACTTTCTTTTCGGGCAATTGCAGTTAGAGTGCAAAGAAGTGTAGACACTGTGGTTAGGTGTTGTCAGGCATGGTTTCGAGAAGGCCGTACGCAAAGAGCAAGGGGCACTGGACGCCGCCGTAGAACAACAGACCGTGAAGATCGCCGCCTAAGATTATTGGCCTTAAGGGACCGTTTCTCCACTACCAGGTCAATTGCAAATGAATGGTTTGCAGAACACGGAAGACCTATTGGCATACGAAGTGTTTACCGACGAATGAGAAGTTTTGGCTTGTTTTCATACCGGCCACACTGGGTCCTCCCTTTAACTCGAGAACACCGACGTAATCGCCTTGAGTGGTGCAGACAACGGTCACTCTGGGATCAGGAATGGAACAGTATTGTCTTTAGTGACGAGTCTCGATTTTGTTTAGGCATGCACGGTGGTCGTGCCAGGGTTAGAAGGCGACGTGGTGAAAGGAGGAATCCACAGTTTTTTGTTGAAAGACATGTTCATCACACTGTTGGAGTTATGGTTCCAGGTCACCTTTAATCTTCATCAGAGGTAACATGCAGCGTTATATCCACGATGTTCTAGAACCCCATCTTTTACCCTATCTTGACACCCTGGCAGATCCAACTTTCCAACAAGATATTGCCCGACCACATGTTGCAAGGGTCACAATAGACTTCTTTCAACATAATGATGTCACATTGTTACCATGGCCGCCAAGATCTCCCGACTTATCCCCAATTGAGCACGTGTGGGATATGATGGGTAGGAGATTGCTCAATTTGCAACGTCCTCCTCAGACTCTAGAAGCACTTCGAGAGGAGTTGGTGGTTGCCTGGAATGAGATACCACTGGAGGACATTGACCACCTGAACAGAAGCATGCCTAGGCGCGTTGGAGAATGCGTAGCACATCAGGGTGCATCCACACATTATTAAAGGTCAAAGGGCTTTAAAGCAGTGCAATCATTTTGAAATTTTTATCATTTACTTATTATGCTTCATTAAGTACTTATACAAAATTTATTTATATAAAACCATTTAAACTGGGTGTTCGGATTTATATGTCACTTAGTATACATCTCCTCACGGACCCTGATTCTTTTCGTGTTCGTATTCGGAATATGCTTTGACAATTAGTGATTTTGTGTACTTATTAACTCACATTGATTCGTTTTTTCAGCACCACCGAAGTCTGACTTGGAGATAATCCTCTTCAAAAACGAAAATCTTGTGATATGTACCGTCAGCGGGATTTATCCCATGCCTAAACTGGACTTTTACATAGTTGATGGGTAAGCTTCTATTTTTTATTCCATCCGGTACTTGGGATTAGTATCTTTTCCTTTCGCTATCGAGCTTTGAAACATTATTTAATTTTTTTATCTAGATCGGTTCAGCTGTTGTCAGAAGAAAATGTTCTTTATTTTAAAAAAATTGTGCGATCCAGAACGTTAAACTCCGCTTGATAGGGTAGAGTGGGTTACGAGCTTGGGTATGCTTTAGATATACTCGGTGACATTATCAGTGTTACACCCAGAAAAAATAATTTCTTCAACTTTTTCCGGCAACATAATGACTACTTTTAAAGCATGCTGTGACAACCATGTTAAAGTTTTATCTTTGTTTTTGTTTACCTTTGTGGAAATGTTATCTCTTAGTTTTTGTCAAGAAAGTAGTTTCTGAGAGCTGAGTGTTACAGATATTTTTAGTTATTAGCGAATTTGACAGGGATAGAATTATTGCCTATCGAGATGTTGGTTTGTCCTATCACGGAATTGACCGCCGTGTTAATTGTACTGCAATGACGGTAGTGCGTGTGTGTCGTGTGTGGATAGAAGAAGGTAGAGGAACGAGGAAGGCCAACTGGTCCACCGAGGCGTACCACAGAGCGTCAAGACAGACGCTTCAGACCACTAGCCCTACGAGGCCGTTTTGCTATTATGCATTGGATCGCCGACCAATGGTTTGGAGAAAAGTTTAGACCTGTTACTATGTGTACATTCTATCCCCGCATTCGAGCCTTTGGCCTTTTTCCGTACCGTTCACGGCTAGTGCTTCCTCTGACTGCGGACCACTGTCGTCAACGTTTGAACTGGATGAGAGAACGGCAACACTGTGAGGCAGGATGGTATAATGTCATCTTCAACGACGAATCGCGATTCTGACTAGGTACGCACGATGGTCACGCCACCATGGAGAACGGCGTGATATTGGTTTTGCTGTTGAGAGACATGTACACAGGACTGCTTAGTAATGGTTTGGGGACTATTGCCTATGGTAGCCGATCACCCCTTTCACACGTCCACACGCAAAGCAACTTACGTCCCCATATTGCTCGTCGTACTACGGACTTTTTTTAAGAACCAGGCACTAATGTTTTGCCGTTCACAGGATTTAAATCGAACATGTGTGGGATATGATGGTAAGGAGACTATCCACTTTGCAGCATTCACCACGTTGTTGTTCGTGTTGCTTGGAATTGGGTGCCACAACCAGACATCGATCGTCTCATTGTGTCGATGCCTAGACGTATACAGGAGTGTATTCAGCTGCAGGATCATCCAAAACATTCTTTATTTTCGTATTACTTGTCAATAAAATTTCGTCAGGATGTTATCGTTTCATTCTTGACGTAAGACTACCTCGTTGCCAAAAAATCAAGTTGAAGAAACTATTTTTCCTCGCTGTAACACTTCTAATGTCTGATAGATGACATCATAGCTTTTTCGATAAGGTTGTTCCGACTAAGACTAGTCATCTATATACATATGACTGATCCAGTTTTCCTCGCAGGAACGAAACGAGGAACATCGATGAAGAAATCGAATCCGACAGTGATGAAAACGGATTCAACGTGACTGCAAGGTATCGATTCGACAACACCACATTGTCAAACCCCACGACGTTTCTCTGTAATCTCACGATTCCCGGTACTGACTACAATCTGTACAAGGAACTGGATTATTACCTAGGTAATTCTTCATTGTATTCTTTTTTCAAGCAAGTTCACAGAATATGCGCTGATAATGAAAAAAGGCGAAAAACTGTTACTGCCTTTGGACACACAAATATGGTGGTTTCTGCCATCTTTTGTACTATAGATATATACGGGGTGTCCAGATAGTGAGTCAAAGCTTCGTTACTATTATAGTTTCAGTGAAAAAAAGTTTAGTATAAAAGTTGTAGGCTACAACCTAAAATTATTTTCAGCTATACAGTATCTCCGCAAAGTTGGGGTTTTCCTTTTCAGAAACAACTACCCTTGAAATAACAAAGGTAATTTGTAGTGAAACGAGGGCGACCAAGTAACAAAAAAATAAAGGAAAAAGTACTCACTCTCCAGTTGACGAGAAGGGCTAAGTACGTCTCTGCCCGAAATCATACCGCTCCAACAGAAAATGAAATCAGCTGATGCGCTACCGAGCAGACGCAGGCAAACAAGGAAGGCAAAATGTTGCGTAAAAAGTCTAGGTATTGCATCCCGTCCAATCGATTTGGGAGAATAAATGGTCCAATGAGCATACCGTTCACCATGCCAGCCCAAACATTCACCGAAAATGTGCCCGACGGACAGCGTGCGGATTTTCTACTGACCAAACATGAGTGTTGCGAAAGTTATTCACCCCATTACGCGTGAACGTAGATTCGTCTGTCACCAATATGCACTTCAAAAAGTCCGGATTATTGTCATGTTGATGCAACAACCACTCACAAAACCGCACTCTTGCTGGAAAATCGTCAGGTTGAAGGGCTTGTACACGTTGGACGTTAAACGGATACAGCCCCTCTTCACGCAGCGTTTGCCACACTTTAGTTTTTGATTCTTGTACTTCTCTAGCCACGTCTCTAGTGCTTGTTGAGGGATTCTCGTCTACGCGCTTACCTCTAGACGCGTGACCGTAACCGTCGGTTGAAGGTTGCATACTGACCTGACACACTGACCCCGACCCAGTTCTGTCGTCGGGTTGAGCTAGTGTCCTAGTACCAGTCGGGGATGTCGCGGCTACAGGACGGTATTCAGATAATTTTGATGTTGCAGAGCCCTTTATCTCGGTTCCCTTAAGACATTGGTGTATATGGTACTAAGAAAAATTGCTTATGTTTTCAAGATCTACACATCCTGTAAAGGAAACCCTGTATATCTGTTGATTTTTAGAAGCGCCTTTTGTTGGCCATGCCAATGTATGGTTTGTACTGGGTATTCAAGATATATGGCCACTTTTTCGTTAAAGTCATTATACATTTGACTCCCATATCTTAAACACACTTTAGATAAAATCTATTTTATTATACTGGGTGATGAAAACAGTGGTAAAAATTCATATTCAACGTTTTTTCTGTACATATTTTATTCGAGACATACAGGGTGAATCAAAACGGAAAGATGTAATTATCTCGAAAAATTTAAATCAAACACCCTGTATGTTATAACTCTTTTCAACGCGTATCGTAGTATTCAGTTTTGTTAAGCATTACCTTTACCCAAATCTAGTATTTTCTGCTCCATGTTTGGACGGCTTTTTGCAGAAAGGAACCAACCCACTAAATATGAAAAATCTAGATTGTAGGAAAATAAACTATTACGAGCGATACCATTTACTGTAAAAAAGATCCATACACATATTTAAAGCCTTTAGTATGCCATTAATTGAAATCGTGTTTGGTCTGAAGTTAATTTGTTATCAATGTCAAAACTTTAACGCCTAGTTGCTCGATAATTGTTTTTATAGGTTGGTTCCTTTCCGCAGAAAGCTGTCCATAATAATATTGGAATTATTTGGAAAATCTAGGTTAGCCATGCTTTTTGACAAACCTGTCATCGTAAACTTCAGTAGTAAAGTGTTAGAGGTCCCATTTGAAAAAAGTACAAGTTTATGGGACATCCCGAATAGCTAAAAATAATTTTACAATTTTTGTGTTTAACTTTTTTCTGCAACTCTAATAGAGGCGAATATACAGGGTGACTTTGAAGTTGAGTCATTAATTTTCAGATTATGATTGTAGAAGGAAGATAAACCAAAATATGTGTGTAAAAAGAAAAAAAATTAAAAAAAAATGTTACCTTGTTTTATAAAGTATCCTTCCGACAAGTATTTCAGTGCGGACCTGTATTTGATCGTGAGGTCCCCTGTGAGGTCTTAAGTCACCTGATTCACGAGCCCTTTATACTACATTAACAAAGGCACGAGGGGTTGGTTGCACTCGATTGGGAAACCGATCCGCATAAATCCATGATGCCGCGGCAGCATTTTGTAATGACTCCCCCCTCCCGTAAATAAGAATCATGTCCACAAGTTCAGCATTTTCGTAAACATTTGCCATTTTTTATTTCGTTTGAGCCACGCAACAAACACCACTATTCACTCACGCGTTACCGACTGACACAATGACTGAATACAACTGAATAAAATTGTAGTAAAAACATCGTGATCGCTTTTTTGTTTCCGATGAGATGAACCGATAAGGCGGATTGTATCCGTTGTTGCCAAACACGAGCACATAATATTATTATTGAGACAGGGCGGTACTCAAACTTCTAAAGGGCTGTAACTTTGTTACTTTAATTTTACCAGAACAATGTTAAAGGAAAAAAACATTTCTTTTGATCAGATCGACTCACTGTTAAAATAAATGACTCAACTTCGAAGTCACCCTGTATATTGAGCTTTGACACACTATTTGGACACCCTGTAGATTTACAAATCAAAAAACACCCTTGATCATAAAACATATTTTTTTTTCCTTTTGGGTCGTTAAGAGGAAGCAAAGTCGTGTATTCAGGTAGCGAGGAACTTGGAAAGTTTTGCAATTCCGAGTATTTTCGGAGATATACGACAGAAACCGAACTTTTCCAAAATCGTTTTTATTTCTCCTAGCTTTATTTGATGATTTCAAAATGAAATTACCATTTTTTCTCCACTACAAGATGTCATAGTTATAATTTCATTATGACGTTTTGTCTCTTGCCTCACTGATCAACATTACTTTTTCTTGTTGACGCCATATTGGATTTATGCACAGATGAACAGAGTTTTTCAATCCGATTTCAAAAATGTATGATGTCATACGTTCGTATTGTCAAACCTAAGTTAATTAAAAAAGCTAATATTTTCATAGTTGGCTTTGAAAATGACATTCGGATAATTTTCCCATTTTTCTACTATACTAAGTGACATATAAATCCGAACACCCAGTTTAAATGGTTTTATTTTAATAAAAGTTGGTGAATGTATTTATCTTACTGTAAATAACAAGTGAAAACATTTCCAGCCTTATCAGTTGGACATTCCGGTTTTTATACTGCTTTTATTTAATTCGCTAACGCTCTAAAAATGAATATTTCAGCCGCAGTAAAGAATCAACGTTGGCGGATTTTGGTTCTTGACATCCTTTACGATCGGTTACGATGCCTAGAGTACGGAGACCTGTACGATTTCGTCAACTTAGTGAGTTTGATAGGGGCCGTATAGTGGGACTTCGGGAAGCTGGACTTTCTTTTCGGGCAATTGCAGTTAGAGTGCAAGAAAGTGTAGACACTGTGGTTAGGTGTTGTCAGGCATGGCTTCGAGAAGGCCGTACGCAAAGAGCAAGGGGCACTGGACGCCGCCGTAGAACAACAGACCGTGAAGATCGCCGCCTAAGATTATTGGCCTTAAGGGACCGTTTCTCCACTACCAGGTCCATTGCAAATGAATGGTTTGCAGAACACGGAAGACCTATTGGCATGCGAAGTGTTTACCGACGAATGAGAAGTTTTGGCTTGTTTTCATACCGGCCACACTGGGTCCTTCCTTTAACTCGAGAACAGGCATGCACGATGGTCGTGATAGGGTTAGAAGGCGACGTGGTGAAAGGAGGAATCCACAGTTTTTTGTTGAAAGACATGTCCATCACACTGTTGGAGTTATGGTTTGGGGTGCTATAGCTTATGGTTCCAGGTCACCTTTAATCTTCATCAGAGGTAACATGAACGCGCAGCGTTATATCTGCGAAGTTCTAGAAGCCCATCTTTTACCCTATCTTGACACCCTGGCAGATCCAACTTTCCAACAAGATAATGCCCGACCACATGTTGCAAGAGTCACAATAGACTTCTTTCAACATAATGATGTCACATTGTTACCATGGCCACCAAGATCTCCCGACTTATCCCCAATTGAGCACGTGTGGGATATGATGGGTAGGAGATTGCTCAATTTGCAACGTCCTCCTCAGACTCTAGAAGCACTTCGAGAGGAGTTGCTGGTTGCCTGGAATGAGATACCACAGAAAGACATTGACCACCTGATCAGAAGCATGCCTAGGCGCGTTGGAGAATGCGTAGCACATCATGGTGCATCCACACATTATTAAAGGTCAAAGGGCTTTAAAGCAGTGCAATCATTTTGAAATTTTTATCATTTACTTATTATGCTTCACTAAGTACTTATACAAAATTTTATTAAAATAAAACCATTTAAACTGGGTGTTCGGATTTATATGTCACTTAGTATAGTCCCTCTCCGTGACGCCTCAGCGGTTAGTTAGTGCAAGATGTGTGCATCGGTTTAGATATGGCAGATATGAAATGTGCTTAGGAGGCTGCAACGTCGTCGAGGCTTTTACATAGTCATGCTTCATCAGTTACATTAAATGATACCGTTTTAAATGTTTCAAATACGACCTTTAAGTATTATGAAGACATTTCCGATTAGCAGTTTTTCTATCTTTCTTTTTTTTGTTTAACGAACCTCACGCACTAACAAAACTTTTAACAAATTTTGAACAGAGGACGAAAGTGTAATAGAGGACGAAGATTACACAGATTGGTTGATATCAAATGAAACAACCGGTGAGGAAGCTTCGATAGATCTTAATCAGTGGCACGCTCAAAATGTCACAATGGAAGGTACAATGTTCAATATACACGTAGTTTTTGTTATTAACCAAATTGGTTTGAGCTTCCATTCTCCTAAAAGATTTTTTGTGTGGCGAAATGAACGTTCAAAAAAACGTGCTCGAATGTCTTTCAATGTGACGCCTGAAACTTTTCTTGAAGTTGATTTTCTGGTACACGTCCATATTGTCTGAGCGAAAAATGAAACCGCGAAACACTTTACTAACATTTCGGAAGCCAGTAGCCTTTTTTTTTTTATATCGAAACAGCCGCGCAGACAGAAGCCTAAATGCCGGAACACCGCGGCTGCTATGATGATCCCAAAGAAATTTTGTTAATACGATTTTTGAACTGCCTAAGGTTAGTAGAACTGGGAAAAGCTTCCTCCCGTAGATTGTTCCACAATCTAGACACCCTCGGGACAAAGGAGCGGTCGTATCGGCCAGTTCTGGATGTACAAAGTTTGACACGGTTAGGATGGGACGCCGACGTCAGGCGGGTCTGTCTGGCAGGCACATCGCGCGGCGGCATCATGGAAGAGAGCTCTGAGGAGCAAAGCCCGTTGGTGTAGCGATAGAAAAGAGCTAGATCGCCGACGGCCCGCCGGTGCGAAAGAGTCCCGAGACTGTCTGTTAGGGAAGAGTCATCGATCAGTCGGACCGCCCTCCTCTGGACAGCATCGAACATGGACAATGTAGTCGGGGCGGCAGCACCCCAAATGTGTGAGCAATACTCGAGGCTAGGCCTTACCTGGGCCTTGTATAGAGTGAGAAGGTCATGCGGAGAAAAGTACTTCTTAGCCCTAAACAAATAGCCTAGCTTTTTCCCAGCAGCTGCAGCTATTGAAGAGATGTGTTCGTGCCAGATCAGGTCCTCGGTGATCTGGACTCCGACCAGCCGAAATGAATGGCTCTTTGGTAGAACTCGACCGTCCATCGAAACTGTATGAGCGCTAGGACGCTTTTTGTTCGTCAAAGTACAGTACTGTGTTTTGGAAGCATTGAACTGTACAAGATTGTTGCGTCCCCAAGCAGTGATAGCCTCCAGGTCTCTTGTCAGAGAAGAAGTCGTCGCTAGTCTTCTTTTTTCCAGCTCAGCGGCAGAGATCGGCTTGTCACTCTGAATTCCTGCATGTAGAGTGCTGTCATCAGCGAAGCTGTGGATTGGGTTGATCGTGCAGGAAAGGAGGTCGTTGATATGTAAGAGAAACAGTGTTGGAGCCAAGACCGATCCCTGGGGAACACCCGCGTTGACGTTGTGGGATGAAGAGGAGAATCCGTCAATTACGACGGATATCTTGCGGCCAGAGATAAAGTCAGCCACCCATCTGCAAAGCTTTTCTGGGAGGCCATAGGATGGAAGTTTGCTTAAGAGGGCAGCGTGCCACAGCTGATCGAACGCTTTCGTGATGTCAAGAGCAACGACATGAGCCTCACCATGAGACTGGATGATTTTACTCCACAGTTGCGTGACGTAAGCTAGGAGGTCCCCTGTGGATCGTTGGTGCCGGAAACCGTACTGCCTGTCGCTAATCAAGCTGTGACGTTCGAGGTAGTCCAGAAGCTCGCGATTTATGCACCTCTCCATCACTTTACTTATAACAGAAAGCAGAGCTATAGGTCTGTAGTAGTAAGGGTCGGTTTTAGATCCTTTTTTTGGGATGGGCTGTACATGAGCAAATTTCCAGTTTTCTGGGAAGGTGCCGGATTCATAAGATATCTGGAAGAGACGCGAAAGAACTGGAGCAAGCTCCGCTGCACATCTCTTCAGTACAATGGCAGGAATCAAGTCCGGACCAGAAGCTTTGTTCAAAGTACCTTATTAAACGTTTTCTCTTAACTTCTGTGTGTGTAGTTATTCACTGGTAAAATATACTAAGTGACATATATTTATCAGTAGACCCAAAACTTGTAAAAGCATGCTCAAAATTACTCTCTCTCATTCCTAGTCGGTGTTGCATTATCTATGTCACTTAGTATATGTTAATTAATGATGATACTGAATTTTTTGCGTTATAAAAAAGTGTGAATATTGTTATCTATTGCACCATGTCCTTTCTAGATGCGAGATTTTAATAGGAAGTGCTATTATATTGGCTAATGGTTATTTCAAAAATTGGTTTCGATAGCAAGGTACCGCTTTCATTTACTATAGATAAACGCTTTTGAGTGCAACAAAAAAACATGCCTAGGATAGTGTGATTTACGACATAATCGAGTGAAGTACATCGATTTACCATGTTGGTTTTCATTTGTTTTACGCTATGGTATATATTTAGAACATTCATCGTCTTCCATTTCGACAGGCAATATATACATTTTCAAATCGAATAAGCATTGGAGCTGATCATAGGCTGAATGAAATGTGTTTGCTTTCCATTATACAGGGTGGCCCATCCATCCGTGGACGAAATATTACTCATAAACAAATCTATGTATGGGATGTTATACATGGCATTTGAGGGCACATTTCTAAAATATTTTTTGAATTTTAATTTTTGCTCCTACAGGGTGGCCAAAAACGCAGATTGTTGTTTTTCTCAAAAATTTCAAATGCATCACCTTGTAGATTCGTGCAAGTTTGGATTCAATTTTTTATAAGATTTTTTGATACTAGACAGAAAATCATGGAGGCCATTTCGAACATGTTCTTTAAAAAATAGTTAAATTAAATTACCTTCTATTGCGTTGTTTACGTTTATCGCATCACAGCAACGAATGTGACATGATACACTTATCGTAGTAAGCTAGAATTTTCAGGGTTTATTCTAAATGGATTGAAATAATTTTTACAATAAAATGAATAATGAAATACAACCTCAATTTTTTAACGCCCTCCAAAGTTGAGGGATAGAAGAGATTTTTCGCAAAAAGATGAATTTAAGATTTTTTTTCGTTAAAAAGTGACATAACCATAGCTAAAACCGTTTAGCTCATCTCAAAAAAAAGTCACAGCCCTAAACCTAATGGTTTAGTTGTAATTGCGATTGAAAGATCATTATTCCGTTTTTTTTTTCAGAAATTTCACATAATTGCAAAAAGCTCCTGAACTATAAAGTTTCGGTCCACACATATGTACTAAGTGACATATAAATTCGAACACCCAGTTTAAATGGTTTTATTTTAATAAAAGTTGGTGAATGTATTTATCTTACTGTAAATAACAAGTGAAAAAATTTTCAGCCTTATCAGTTGGACATTCCGGTTTTTATACTGCTTTTTTTTAATTCACTAACGCTCTAAAAATGAATATTTCAGCCGCAGTAACGAATCAATGTTGGCGGATTTTGGTTCTTGACATCCTTTACGATCGGTTACGATGCCTAGACTACGGAGACCTGTACGATTTCGTCAACTTAGTGAGTTTGATAGGGGCCGTATAGTGGGAGTTCAGGAAGCTGGACTTTCTTTTCGGGCAATTGCAGTTAGAGTGAAAAGAAATGTAGACACTGTGGTTAGGTGTTGTCAGGCATGGCTTCGAGAAGGCCGTACGCAAAGAGCAAGGGGCACTGGACGCTGCCGTAGAACAACAGACCGTGAAGATCGCCGCCTAAGATTATTGGCCTTATGGGACCGTTTCTCCACTACCAGGTCCATTGCAAATAAATGGTTTGCAGAACACGGAAGACCTATTGGCATGCGAAGTGTTTACCGACGAATGAGAAGTTTTGGCTTGTTTTCATACCGGCCACACTGGGTCCTCCCTTTAACTCGAGAACACCGACGTAATCGCATTGAGTGGTGCAGACAACGGTCACTCTGGGATCAGGAATGGAAGAGTATTGTCTTTAGTGACGAGTCTCGATTTTGTTTAGGCATGCACGATGGTCGTGCCAGGGTTAGAAGGAGACGTGGGGAAAGGAGGAATCCACAGTTTTTTGTTGAAAGACATGTTCATCATACTGTTGGAGTTAGGGTTTGGGGTGCTATAGCTTATGGTTCCAGGTCACCTTTAATCTTCATCAGAGGTAACATGAACGCGCAGCGTTATATCCACGAAGTTCTAGAACCCCATTTTTTACCCTATCTTGACATCCTGGCAGATCCAACTTTCCAACAAGATAATGCCCGACCACATGTTGCAAGAGTCACAATAGACTTCTTTCAACATAATGATGTCACATTGTTACCATGGCCACCAAGATCTCCCGACTTATCCCCAATTGAGCACAAGTGGGATATGATGGGTAGGAGATTGCTCAATTTGCAACGTCCTCCTCAGACTCTAGAAGCACTTCGAGAGCAGTTGGTGGTTGCCTGGAATGAGATACCACAGGAGGACATTGACACAAAATTTTATAAAAATAAAACCATTTAAACTGGGTGTTCAGATTTATATGTCACTTAATATAGCATGGTTCTAGATACATAAAACTTTTGTTTGTTCAACCAAAATTAAAGGGTATGGGTTTGAAATAAAGAACTTTCATTTTTTTATACCCTAGTGCTTATATATGCTGAACCTTGATCCTGAAATCATCCTGGCATAAATCCTCTATATGCACATAGCAAAAATGTCGTACATACTTGTCTGCCTCTCTTACTATTATATTTACAAAAAAATATTTTTTCTTTCTAGATAGTTCCGGTATCGCCAACCACCCAACAATATTCGCCTCGCTACTTTTCCTGTCGACGTTTCTGCTCATAAGTTAACTCACCGCTAGGCAACCTAAGCGAATTTTTTGTGATATTAATACCTATACCAAATGTGCTGCAAAATGTGTGTGTAGAAATAATGTAAAAAGGTGTATATACAGAATGTTGTATAAAGAGTAATACTTAGTGTACATAAAAAAATGAAAAATGTACAATGCTTACACGTGGCCTACACCAAAGAATGTTGTATGTATATAAAATATTTAGGATTAACTCTATATTTTAACATATTGTATAAGGTTCTTATACTAGTCCGGAATAAAATGACTCGTATTTTTAACGTATTTGATTTATTTAAATAGTGAAATTAGCTGAAATAATAATAACGACAAAGTCTGTCAAATCTCCTTTCACCGTTGTTACTTCAGAACTATTCTCTAGAATATATCGCAGCGCTTTTTCTTGCAATTCAGAGTTATCTGAATTCGAAAAGGTTATACAGGGTGGCCAATATATAACTGACTGATTTAAATTGCGCGCCATTTTTGATACACGCACTTCAGAAGGTAGTTGTTTAAAGCACATGTGTCCAATTCATCATGGAGCGCTATACGATCCCTCAACGGGTCCGTATTGTTAAAACGTTTTACTTAAATTTATTTTGGTGCAGAAATTTTAACAAACAGGTGAAGTCAAGGACTTTCCAAGGTCGGGCAGTGTCCGAACTGTTCGTACTCCGGAAAATATCGAGAGAGTTCGTGAGAGTGTAGTGGGGCGCCCTGAGACATCTACCAGACATCGTTCTCTGGGTATTCGTCGCTCGTCGTTATGCACTATTTTAAAAAAAGACTTGCATTTGCGGTCATAGAAAATTCAGTTAACCCAAGAAGTACAGCCTAGTGACCATGAAAGTCCAAGCAATATTGCAGCTTAATACCAAAAATAACGATTTTTACCGACAACTGATAACTGGACAACAAATTTGTATCTTGTGGGAAAAGTGCACTTCTTTGTTAATTTTGGGGCGCTGAATCCAAAAATGACAATGAAATAAAAAAATTAGTTGCGGTTTAGGAAAAAACTTTTTATTTTTAAGGATATATTAAAAAAAGTAACAAGATTCATATACTTATAAGAATCACTATATGCGCTGTCTTTTTGCTGTTCTTTTATGGATCGTTTCTGGAGCATCTCTACCAAGAGTCCAACAGTAGTCTGCAAGCATGGAAGGATTCCACTTTCCCTGGTACCTTTTTTCCATTGTTGAAAGATCCTGATGAAAACGTTCGCCGTGCTCATCACTTACGGCTCCGCAATTGTCAGGAAAAAAGTCCAGGTGTGAGTGTAGGAAATGCATCTTAAGAGACATATTACAGCCCATCTTTTGATACGATGACAGCATATTTTTGACAAGGGTTTTATAGTTGTCAGCTTTTCTATTTCCCAAGAAATTAGTGACCACCAGACGGAAATCATTCCAGGCAGTTTTTTCAATACCTGTTAAAGTGTTTTCAAACTGTGTATCTTTCAAAATATTACGAATCTGTGGCCCAACAAAAATACTTTCTTTAACCTTTGCCTAACTTAGTCTTGGAAATTTCTGACGCAGGTATTGAAAAGCTGACCCATCTCTATCTAATGACTTGACAAAGTTTTTCATTAGGCCCAACTTGATATGCAGTGGTGGTAATAAATTTTTTTTCGAATCTACTAATGGCATATGCTGTACATTTTTTTGACCTGGCTCTAGGAATTGACGAACAGGCCAGTTTTGTCTGGTGTAATGAAGTGCCTTTGCCCGACTGTCCCATTCACAAAAAAAACAGCAAAACTTTGTGTAGCCTAGCTGCAGCCCAAGTAAAAGTGCAACAACTTTCAAATCGCCACAAATATGCCACTGGTGCTCATCGTATTTTATGCATGTCAATAGGTACTTCATATTGTCATATGATTCTTTCATGTGAACTGCATACCCTACAGGAAGAGATGGTAAAATATTTCCAATATGCAATAACACTGCCTTTAAACTCAATGTTGAACTGTCTATAAACAATCTCGATTCTTCTGGGTTATAGTTTATATTTAAAGCCGCCAGTAAGCCGTTAATGTTACTGCAGAAAACCAAGTTATTCTCCATATTGAAAAATGGTTCTAAGTCGTTGTGGCGTTTACGAAAAACACATACCGAAACATCGTCTTCTAACAAGTTCCACTGCTGCAGTCTTGATTCAAGTAACTCTGCCTTACATTTTGGAAGTTCTAAATCTCTTACAAGATCATTTAATTCTGACTGTGTTATTTTGTGCGGTTGGTGGCGTGACGTGCTCGGTATAAAATCAGGATCTCTTGACGTTGATGGCATATCTTCTTCCTGACGAATCACTCGATCGCCATGATCTGATTCGTTTTCTGATTCGCAAGTGTAGGATTCTGGGGGTTTTGGAATAGGATTTTCGTCACTGTGAGGCACAGGTCTCATCGCAGATGGTATGTTTGGGTAGTTAATAACCGATTTTTCTTTCTTGGACATACCTGTGGCTTGTCCAACGCAAGGTACCATGCAAAAGTAACAATCATTAATATGAGCGCATAGACCGTTTTTTGCCATTTAACCAGCTCCTCAGACTTGAAGCACATGTATTACAGCAGATGTGTGGTGCCCACTGTTTGTCTTGATCACCTAGTTTACAACCGAAATAAAGCTGATATGCCTTTGTTATTAGTGCACTGTCACAGCAGGAACACATATAATTACCGTATCTCTAAAACTTGAACTAATATTGAAAAAATAAGTTTCATTCTGGTTTTAGCACATTAAAAATAGTAATATTTTGTTGATTTTATTTAGGATATTTTTTGGCTGTTGATCAGTGTTATTTAACAGTTATTTACAGGGAAGGGAACAATGCGCTAATATACTTGGATGTTATAGCAGTTCACATACAGGGTGGCGCATCGAAAACGAAACAGACGCATTTACTGGCAGCTCAGTTTTTTTTTGGAAAAACGTTCAGACCCGTCTTCAAAACTGCTGAACTGAAGTACATTAATTTTATATCATTATAAAGGAAATTGAAAGACCTTTAAAATAAGGTATCACTCGACCCCCCTTTCCATTTAAGATTTTAGGGGTGGTGTCACCCCCGCTTAGGGGGCGGCACGTGCTAACGTGATTTTTTGCCAAACTTGTGTCCACCTCGAAAACAAAATCGACGGGTCTGATCGTTTTTCCAAAAAAAAAAACTGACCAGCCAGTAAATGCGTCTGTTTCGTTTTCGATGCGCCACCCTGTATAGTGAATTGTGGTATTCCTCAGGGCACGGTTTTAGGACCGATGTTATTCAATATCTATGTTAACGACCTGTACAGCCTACCAATAGCTGGTGAAATAACAAGTTTTGCGGATGACACTGTCGTCATTTATAAAGCAAAAAATTGGGAAGACTTAAAGGTAACATTTGAGCAAAATGGACGTACTTTATTTCATTTCTCAAATATTCAAGATACAAACAAGTCAGTGACATATCGGCCACCCTGTATATTACTGGTAATTCTATTGTAAAAAATGCACATCTACTAAAATTAAAACAATACGCTATTTTTATTTCTACAAAACTATTCATATATTCATTTGATTTACTATTCAAAGGGCACAACGGATATTGCACAACTCCCATATAAAATATAAATTGAGATAATAATAATAATACATGAACCTATAAAGTAAATAAATATGAAACCCAAAGCAATGTGTACGCGTACACGCTCATTGATATGAAAAAAATATATAGTTGTATGTCAAGAATTTTAGATTCTTTTTAAAGAGTATCAGAAGGATATACTATAGGTCTCACGAATATAGTTTTGAGCACATTCCCTCAAGATTATGAAGAAAATTTCTTGAGCACAACTGGGACAGTTTCAACGTATGATGTATAATGATATAATTACAAGAAATGCGAGTAAAAATACAAACGCACATACCTACGCTTAGAGATCTGCCTATCGGGACGCCACCGCAACCTATTGAAGTATACAGGGTGTCCGCAAAGTTGGCGTTGTCCTTTTCAGAAACAACTACCCCTGAAATGACAAAGGTAATGTGTAGTGAAACGAGGGCGACCAAGTAAAAAAAATAAAGGGAAAAGTACTCACTCTCCAGTTGACGAGAAGGGCTAAGTACGTCTCTGCCCGAAATTATACCGCTCCAACAGAAAATGAAATCAGCTGATGCGCTACCGAGCGGACGCCAGCGGTGGTGCAGACCACGAACAGAGGTAACAAATATGACGGCGTTGCCGCGTTTTCAGTTTTTAGGTAAACGTACTTTATAGGTATTGTTCGAAGTTATCGCCGTTTGATTCAAAAACACAGGTGCGTGCACAACGTAGCCAAGCATCGGTGCAGGCTTTCAGAATGGAGTCCCTCCCCCGAATGAAAGCACCAGCTTGTTCAATTCTGAGACGAAGTTCGTCAACCGTATGCACTTCAGTTTTGTACACTAAGCGTTTCATTTCTCCCCAAAGGAAAAAATCACATGGCGTTAAGTCTGGAGATCGCGGGGGCCACGCTACGGGTCCATTACGTCCGATCCACCTATTCGGGAATAATTCATTCAAAAACTCACGCACTTCGCGTCTAAAATGGGGCGGTGCACCATCGTGCAGAAACCACATTGATTGTCTTACACTTAATGGCACAACTTCTAACAAGGAAGGCAAAATGTTGCGTAAAAAGTCTAGGTATTGCATCCCGTCCAATCGACTTGGGAGAATAAATGGTCCAATGAGCATACCGTTCACCATGCCAGCCCAAACATTCGCCGAAAATGTTTGTTGAAAATGTACCCGACGGACAGCGTGCGGATTTTCTACTGACCAAACATGAGTGTTGCGAAAGTTATTCACCCCATTACGCGTGAACGTAGATTCGTCTGTCACCAATATGCACTTCAAAAAGTCCTCCAAATGGCTCGTATCCTTGACTCTCTGGACCAGGTACACAAATCTGCGGGGCCTTGGATGATGTCGTCTCGGGAAACGATCTGCATACACTCGCGAAGCCTCTGTAGCATTTTGAAGACATTCGCCATAAATTAACAACATATCAACGAGTTCATTATTGGTGTATGAGTGTGCCATTATTATTTTTTATTTGAAACGCAATCGATTATACGGGTTCGTTTACCTCTACGCGCGTGACCGTAACCGTCGGTTGAAGGTTGCATACTGACCTGACACACTGACCCCGACCCAGTTCAGTCGTCGGGTTGAGCCAGTAACCTTGTACCACTCGGTGATGTCGCGGGTCGCGGCTACAGGACGGTATTCAGATATTTTTGATGTTGCAGAGCCCTTTATCTCGGTTCCCTTAAGACATTGGTGTATATGGTACTAACTAACTAAAAAATTGCTTATGTTTTCAAGATCTACACGTCGTGTAAAGGAAAACTCCAACTTTGCGGACACCCTGTATAGCAAACAATAAGTCCGAACCTGTACGGAGTACGCGAGGATTCACCGCCGTTTGACGCTGTAAACGGCGGTGCTCGAAACCCGCTATGGCGGATCACTGACAGATAAGTGTTGGAGGCTGAAAATGGTACTGAAGGGTTGGCCTGTACCTATTCTGTGATGACAACCAAAATTTTGATGTGCGTCGTCACCAGACGCTATATATTTCAATAGGGTAGTTTAGCTACTGATGCCGGCGTCGTCACCATGGCTCTTATTAAATATAAGAAAATAAGATAAATATCACAATTATCTAGAGTGTCCTGGAAACATTTGAATCAAGCGATTTTGGTCATTTCAAAAATCAAATTTCAAAATGTAGAAGTTGTTCTAAAGATTCCCATAAGGAATCACAAAAATATTATTACTCCTCCATATGGGATCCAAATGTTGCAGTATCTATGAAAGTTAAATAAAAAGCGTAACTTAGGAAATCTGAACAGTGCAACTATTCACAATGAATCTATAAGAAGTTGTCTACGTGGAAAACTTAAACATCTTACATTAGCCATTTTAAACAGCAACAGCAATTTGAAGAAAAAATACTTTGAATGCCTCACATAGGCGATTAAATGATAAAGCATAAATATCTAGGAATTAAAACTAAATAACAAATCAAGACATCTACAAAATAAATAACAATTCCAAATCAGCAGAGCGCTACTGATGACCTGTGCTTTCATACGTCACTTTCGCGTGGAAACCGCTATTATCTGCATAATATGACACCTTCTGTCTCCTTCCATCTGGCAACAGAACGTCGTAACTGCCTTCAAGAGTCTTGCCGTTTCTTCTCTCTTCGTGGCCGAAATCGTTGCCTTCCTTGTTGTCTCTGATTCGGTAGCCGAAGGCATACTTGGAAGCGTATTGTTCCTGTAAGAAACAAAACAACAAGGATGAGTACCAGTGGAGAAACACGGCCCCACAAAAAAAGGAAAGGTGATATGTGATCAGAAAAGTTTGTACGCGTCTAGAATTCACCCCCTAAGCCCAAAAACTACCCCTAGGATGCGTGGAAATGGATGCTGGAACATGGTATTGCCATGTATTTTTCGAGGCTGAATCCGAATGTGGAGTCAACAAAATTTCCACACTCCTGGAATTTGCGCCCAGGACCAAAAACTACCGCTAACGACTGGTGGAAGATTAAATTTCGGATGCCAATACCATGGTCTATTGGACGGATCAAGATCTTCACTTTTTTGTAGTTCTTCTCTATCTTAGAGTGGGATTATTTCTGATTTTATCTGATATGAAAGATATAGACCTGTCTGCCAAACTTGAAACATTCGTTTAGTGCCTCGTTTACCCATATTTCTAAGGGAGTACCTATGAAAGTCCAGTCGTCGAGGGTTTTTAAATTTTAGAATCATTTATTTATACTAAGTGACATATAAATCCGAACACCCAGTTTAAATGGTTATATTTTAATAAAAGTTGGTGAATGTATTTGTCTTACTGTAAATAACAAGTGAACAAATTTTCAGATTTATCAGTTGGACATTCCGGTTTTTATACTGCTTTTTTTTAATTCACTAACGCTCTAAAAATGAATATTTCAGCCGCAGTAAAGAATCAACGTTGGCGGATTTTGGTTCTTGGCATCCTTTACGATCGGTTACGATGCCTAGAGTACGGAGACCTGTACGATTTCGTCAACTTAGTGGGTTTGATAGGGGCCGTATAGTGGGAAGCTGGACTTTCTTTTCGGGCAATTGCAGTTAGAGTGCAAAGAAGTGTAGACACTGTGGTTAGGTGTTGTCAGGCATGGCTTCGAGAAGGCCGTACGCAAAGAGCAAGGGGCACTGGACGCCGCCGTAGAACAACAGACCGTGAAGATCGCCGCCTAAGATTATTGGCCTTAAGGGACCATTTCTCCACTACCAGGTCCATTGCAAATGAATGGTTTGCAGAACACGGAAGACCTATTGGCATGCGAAGTGTTTACCGACGAATGAGAAGTTTTGGCTTGTTTTCATACCGGCCACACTGGGTCCTCCCTTTAACTCGAGAACACCGACGTAATCGCCTTGAGTGGTGCAGACAACGGTCAGTCTGGGATCAGGAATGGAACAGTATTGTCTTTAGTGACGAGTCTCAATTTTGTTTAGGCATGCACGATGGTCGTGCCAGGGTTAGAAGGAGACGTGGTGAAAGGAGGAATCCACAGTTTTTTGTTGAAAGACATGTTCATCACACTGTTGGAGTTATGGTTTGGGGTGCTATAGCTTATGGTTCCAGGTCACCTTTAATCTTCATCAGAGGTAACATGAACGCGCAGCGTTATATCCACGAAGTTCTAGAACCCCATCTTTTACCCTATCTTGACACCCTGGCAGATCCAACTTTCCAACAAGATAATGCCCGACCACATGTTGCAAGAGTCACAATATACTTCTTTCAACATAATGATGTCACATTGTTACCGTGGCCACCAAGATCTCCCGACTTATCCCCAATTGAGCACGTGTGGGATATGATGGGTAGGAGATTGCTCAATTTGCAACGTCCTCCTCAGACTCTAGCAGCACTTCGAGAGGAGTTGGTGGTTGCCTGGAATGAGATACCATAGGAGGACATTGACCACCTGATCAGAAGCATGCCTAGGCGCGTTGGCGAATGCGTAGCACATCAGGGTGCATCCACACATTATCCAAGGTCAAAGGGCTTTAAATCAGTGCAATCATTTTGAAATTTGCTATCATTCACTTATTATGCTTCATTAAGTACTTATACAAAATTTTATTAAAATAAAACCATTTAAACTGGGTGTTCGGATTTATATGTTAGTATATTTGAATACGTTTTCTTTTATAATGCAATGTTTGGCTTTGTTTCTATGTGTGCCATGATTGGTTATTAAAAAATCACAATGTATGATGAAATAAACAAGAGTAAGGTTTTTTAACGAAGGTAATAAATTTGTCAATGCACTAGTCCGAAGGGAAATTTCTATTAAGAAACAAGTGAAAGATAAAATATCCAACAGCTACTCTGTGACTGTTTTGAAAAATGTAGGTACCCTGATTTCGTTGCTCCAGTTATATCAATCAACTTGCCTTAGAGCAAAATTAATAAATTAAGTCTGTTAATAATAAACTTTCTTCGTCGTTCGTTTCAGATGAACTACTTTTGTCATACGCGACACTTTTTATTAAGATTTATTGTTATTGGTTGGAATATATAAGAAACAATGTCCACTGCTCTATTATTTTAGTAAAGTGCTAACCGTTGTTTGAAAGGTGAGTGAGTAATAACCAATAAAATAATTTTACTGACATTTTGCTTTAAAGAAATTGTCATTTCTCAAATTTTTCAGCTCCAGTAAAAGTTACAAGAAAGGAGTTGTGAGTTCTTGAGCTTTCTGTTCTGGTAGCAGCCTGGGGATTCTATCAAAAACAGCAGTTGATAATCGTTCGTTCTTTTTACCTGAGTGTTATTTAAAGAAAAACAGTTTTTTTTTGAAATTTTGAGGTGTCCTTTTAAGCATTTTGCTAAAATGCCGAAACCTCCGGATCGACATGCAACAGAATATAACGATAACGATATCATGGAGCTCCGTTATTGCCGATACAAGAGAGGTATTAGGTAGTAAATAGAATTTATACTAGATTTAGTGTTTACAAAACATACGGTCCGTAATTTTGGTTTGCATCGAAGACATAAAGTAGATTTTGTAACGTTCTAGGATCTAGTAGTTTTAGTTAATGTGGCAACCATGTGCGTTACTGTCACTTTGTGACGTGACTGCTTTGATTCAGCGAATAAACTATATTAAATTTTCCAGATAAGCAAGCAATGAGATTTATTTAATAATAGCCATGCTACTTTTTTGTTGGTTTAGACCATTGATTCCCAAAGTGGTCTATATCGACCCCTAGGGGTCTATGACGATAGTGGATCTCAACACATACACTGATAGTACCTATTTACTTACATCATACTATCTTATAATATCAAAACATATACATTGTTTATAAAAGTACCTATGAAGTAAAAAATGTATTATATTGTTTATAAAATTGTGTAAGTTGTAGGATGTTGGTATTCGCTTTGTGGTCGTAATACATTTTGAACTTGTAAAAACCTGAGAGTCGCAGTCTCAGAGCTTCGCTACCTTGCACTGACTTGTTCAATTCGTCACTCTAAATTTTAGTTTTGTACTCGTAGTTAGCAAAGATAGACAAATTACGCCAATCATGACTTTAGTTATTAGTAGTTAAATATTCAATCATGCAAAATTACACGAGTACTCCTCAATAGTTTCTTTTTGAAAGTTTTAGCAATCTGTAATATAATTACAGTGCAATCTCCGTAATTCGAGCTAATTATTGCAAGAAGATGTTCGAATTATGGAATGTTTTCGGAAAAATCAAAAAACATTTTTAATATACAGCTGCTGGATTTTCTGTCTTATTTAAATAATTTAATTTTGCCCACAGATGACTGATGCCATGTCCGAATCTAAAAAGAAATGTAGACAGTACAGTGTTGATTATTTGAAATTTGGCTTCATTCCATCATTGCCGGACAAACAATCGCCTATGTGCCTTTTATGCAACAAAGTTTTCTGCAATGACGCTATGAAACCATCTAAACTGCAAGATCATCTGAGAAGATGCCACCCTGATAAAACAGAGAAAGATTTGAAATACTTATTGTACTTGTACTTTTCCACATAAAAAAGCTATCCTGTGAGTTTTCGTTATAGTTAGCCGTTTTTGAGATATTTCGATTTTTAAGTTTCGATGCATTTTTAATTATTTATGGGACAATAATATTTTTTTTACATTTTCAATTTGGGCATTACAAGTAATTAAGATGATCGTTTAGATTGTGTTTTTAAACACAGCAATAATTCCTAACTCCAAATAAACACAAAAAACAGAATATTAATTTGTATAATTTTCCAATATTTTTTTTACAAATTAAATTAATTATTTACAACTAAAATGTTATTGGATAGTTAGGACAAACATACAAAATCTAAAGTAGTTGCTCGAAATGTAAACCCAATTGTTCAATACACCATTCACATCTACGAATGATCGAACGTGGTATAGCATTATTCAAATAACATCACATGCATTCCTGATTCTGTCTATTAGCATATCTCTTGTGGTTACGGGAGTCTGGTACACTTTTTCTTTTAGAAATCCCCACACAAAGACATCTAATGGATTTAGGTCAGGGGATCGTGGAGACCAGGCGACTGGTCCTCCACGGCCGATCCATCTTTCTGGATAATTTTCGTCCAGCCAGTTTCTAATTATTCTCGAATAATGAGCTGGACAACCATCAAGCTACAGGTACAGTAGAGAGCGCCCTCTAGCGGCTACAGTAAAACTATGGTTCGTTTTGTCGTACCAAAAAACCCTTGTATACCAATTTTCACTGTTCTACATCAAATATTGTTCGAAATATTTGAAAAAAAACTATTTTAGAAAGTAAATTTAAACACCCTGTATTTCGGAAGCCACGCATTTTTCGACCCATGTTTATATAGACTTTATGCATTAATTTTAAAAGATCTATCGAATCTTAAAGTTATGCAACAATAAACACACCCTGTATGTAACTCACACTCGAGTAGAGAGCTGTTTAAAAATATTGGAGTACCAACAGTGACTTCTTTGTATATACTAGAAATAGCCGCTTTTATAGGCACACTTTTTTTTGTAAACAATGATATTCACACGCACAATACCAAAATAAAAAGTCTATTACGTTTACCTATTTTTAAGTATTAATAAACCAATTTACTTGGGATTAAAAATTTTCAATAATCTACCAGATAAGGTAAAGTCAGAAACAAACGTCGGGTCCTTCAAACGAAATTAAAGGTTTCTGATCGAACAGTGTTTTTATAGTGTTGAAGAGTTTCACTCTTGTAGGCATTTTTAATGTTTTAAATGTGGAACATTTGTTTTTATTGTCATCTCTTTTGTTTTATTATTGTTTTACTGTTATTTTATCCCTAGCTTTAAGTTTTATTGACAATTCCTATATGTTTTTTGTAGCATCAACAGGAAAATAAAGAATCTGAATTTGAACTTTAAGGACATCGAGAACATGAGCGGTAAAGAACGAGTTATTTATTTTTATGATCCTACTACATATCAACTATGGTAACAATCTGAATAAACGAAAATAAAAATACTTCCATATTGTTTCATTTTACCATAATTTTCTCATAAGTTTCACGTTTTTGCGTAGAGTATTTTTTTCCATCAGACGGCGTACTACTAAGGAACATTATTGTAATTTAATCTTTTATTTTGTACTGATTAGTAGTCTTCTATTGATTAAGCTCCCAAAGGATTGCTGCCTCATATGACCTAGCACTTAGCATTCATAGGGAAGATGAAAGGATGACCTTGTATTTCTAAATGACTGTCTTCGATTCTATTCGTAATTAAATTAGTCTGTTATCGTTGAGGCAGTTCTGCTAGCACTTTCACGATCGCAAGATTGTCGAAAAGGTGGGGACTATGGACTTAATTGAATAGGCCTGTTTGGCTGACTTGATCCGTTCAGTTTTTGTTATACACATTTCCGTAGCTCGCTTTTTCTCAGAGAGGTCAATCATTTTTAATATTTTTCCATCTGCCTCTAAATCGCATGTTGATAGATTCAATATGTGATTGTAACGGGAGCTTATACCAATAAAAAAAACGATACACACATCGAATTATATTTCGTACTCGTAGAAATGTCTTTCTCAGGATCAATAGACTCATAGGTAATATAATACCGATACATAAATCAGGAACAAAAACAGATGTTAACAACTATAGACCAATATCAATAATATCCAGTGTAGCAAAGGTTTTTGAAAAAGTTTTATCTACTAGAATGATTCGATACCTCACAAAATTCAAAATTTTAAGTGAAAATCAATATGGATTTACAGAAGGGAAGGCTACATCGGACGCAATAACTAAAATTGTAAATCAAATACATCAAAATATTGATAACAGAATCCCTTCAATCTGCATTTTTGTTGATTTAAAGAAAGCTTTCGACACAGTTAATCACAAATTATTATTAGAAGCATTGGAGAGAATTGGTTTCAGAGGAAACGCGTACTCACTGATCGAAAGTTATTTGTCAAATCGCCCACAATCTGTACAGATATCAGGATCATTTAGTAAAGAAATGTATATTAAGTGTGGTGTCCCACAAGGAACTGTCTTAGGTCCGCTGTTATTCAATATATATTTAAATGATATTTTCCAAATTAATTGTGTTGGCAAAATAACTAGTTTTGCAGATGATACTGCAATATTATATGAAGGCACTGACTGGTCTGATCTGAAAAATGTAATTGAAAATGATTTTATCAAAATTATTTGGTGGTTTAACAGTAGAAAATTAAGCATTAACTACTCTAAAACACATTTTTTTACCATTTGAATCATATGCTAGACATCTGCCAAATTACACAAATTTCTCCTTCAATATTAATGATCAAAAAATGCAAATTAATAGAGTGCCCAACATAAAATACCTTGGAGTGGTCTTGGATCCTCACTTACGATGGGACATCCATGTCAATTATATTTTAAAGAAAGTTAGATTTGTATCCTACAAAATTAAATACCTTGGGAATATATTGACAGAAAAATATCTTCGAACATTATACCATTCACTGATTGAGCCTCATCTCACATATGGTATATTAGCATGGGGAGCTGCATGTTCCTCACATATCTATAATTTAGATGTTTTTCAAAAAAGTATTCTAAAAATGATATTTAAAAAACCGAAACTTTATCCCACTGAAAAATTATATGCAGATTTTCGAATGTATGATATAAGACAGCTTTACTTCTTACACAGTATCACTCACTACCATAAATTTGTAAACACCGACCAAAAAATTAAACATAATCATTATACCAGATACAAAATTCGTGGCACAGTAGTTCCTCAACCGCATAAATCTATAATGCAGCGATCATATCTCTATTTAGCGCCTAAATTTTATGAAATTATACCTAAAGACTTAAAAGATTTACGTTTCGGAAATTGTTTCAAAAGAAATTTAAAAAAGTGGCTACATTCTATATCTAGGACTGAAATTCATAAACTCATAAATACGAACATCAACTAAATACATAATCTACTGTAGCTAATTTTTGTCCTTTTTTGTCATTTGCATTCTACAGTTTCAACTTAAATTTATTGGTCCATGTACAGGCGATGCCTTCTATTGGGCCTGTTTTGATTTTATATTTATTTACTCATATTTTTTGTTATCTTTGTACATTGAGTGAATAAATATTATTATTATTATTATTATATGTAATACGTAACGTCAGACATCTACTAACTCAAGTTTTTGTAACACCCTATTAAGTTTCCTGATCCTATAAACAATTCTACTTATACCGTTTTTCTGTCTTGTCCTACCTCCTCGATATCTAGGTCTAGGATTATTTTTAAAAAACCTCCCACGCCTAGGTAGCTGTAAAACTATCTTTATACAAATCACCCCATCGTTTCTACTTACGTCTCCACCCTCACGGTAGCTTCCATCATCATCGTCTCCGTAACCGTAGACCTTCTGAACATTTTCCGCCTCTTGTGGTTCTAAAGCTACCTCTTGGTACGCGTGTACCGGTTTCCTTGCGTTGAGAATCCTCTTTTTATTCAGAATGGCCCTGTTTTGGTCTTTGATTTGAGATATGAGAGCCTTTTTAGCCTGCTCAATCACAAGATGCTGGTGATCCGGCGCGTAATGTTTCGCGTGCTCACGCTCGTAGAGGATGTTCTTCAAGGTCATAGGAGATTTTCGGACGTTTGGTTCATCGTACGTTTCAGGTATCTGGATTATTGCAGCGGGTGTAGGTAGAGCTTCGTGATGGTTCGGATTCGAAGAGCTCACAACCACTGGATCGGATGTAGAGGGTACCATAAACGGCGATGGAGTTTGCGTCACCCAAATGACCTACAACAAGAGTTACGTCAGCGAGCTAAGCTAAGCTAAGCCTTGGACAAATACGACAATACGGATATTTGGACCTATACGTAAATTACCAGTCAATACGTTCACTGGTATCGTTAATACTCAAACAATTTCCAATTCATCAAGTCCTACACCATTTCCAATGCCCTACTAGACTTTATACAATTTCCAATTCTCTGTCGGAGTCCTCCTACACAATTTCCAACTCCTACCAAATATACATTGATCTAGTAAACTTTTCTATAATCGCCATCTTTTTTCCATCAGTTCCGAGCTAGCAGCCGTCGCGAGTATACACTTGTGCGACTGCGACCCACCCGGACATATTGCGATTTTCATTGCAAGAGATTGGTTGTTTGCCATCTACGATGGCGAAAATTGAGAAGCTGGCTAACCAGCTGAAAGAAAAGAAAGATGCTTTCGCCATGCTGGGAGAGCAGATGCGAAACCTGCAAGAAGACTTCTTGCAGGCTCAACAGGAGATCGAGGAGCTGAACGTGAAGCTCCGCAGGGCCAAGAAGAAGGCCGCAAAGAAGACAGAAGAAGAGGAGGAAGAGGACCACCAGGCTACGTCGGTCGAGATGGACGCTCAAGAAGAGGGCACTCAACGGACCGAAGAAATAGAAGAAGAAGCCGAGAAGAGGACCGACGACACCGATTTCAGTGTCGCCACCAGACGGAGGAAGCGGGTGCGAGTTTCCTCCTCCGAAGACGAGTCGCCAAGGCAGCCAAAGATGCCAGCTGCCACCACCAAGAAGAGTCCTAGAGTAGCCAGGACCATCGTGCCTCCCATGTTGGGAACAGGAGTTCCCCCCATCAGCATCGAGGGCACCGCTGACTGGTCATTCTTAAGCAGGATGATGAACAGCAAGGGGATCCAATTCTCCAAGGCGAGGACGGTGGGTAACAGTGTGAAGGTGTTCACAAATACACCAGCTGACTACCATCAGCTAGTCGCACTGCTGGAATCCATCAAGCGGCCCTTCTTCACCTATCAACTGAAGGAGGACAGGATGGACCAGAGGGTCATTCGTGGGCTACCCAGGGAGATGTCAGTCAATGACATCAAAGAGGATCTAGTGAGCCAAGGTATCGCAGACGCCGAGGTTCAGCAGATGACCTCAAGATCATCCGTAGGAGACTACAGGATGAACTGGACCACATCCAGGACTGGTGCGTGAAATGGAAAATCCGCATCAACGTTCAGAAGACGCAGGCAATCTTCATTCAACGAAGAAGGATTGCAAGACCTCTCGAAGCATCCATCTTCGACGAAGATATCCAGTGGAGCGACAAAGTCAAATATCTGGGGATCGTATTTGACAAGTCCCTCACCTGGAAAGCCCACATAGAAGCTGTCATCGCAAAGACCAGAGCAGCCATGGCTCAACTCTACCCATTACTGGGTAGACACAGCCGGATGCCGCTAGCGACCAAGCTACGGCTGATCAAGGCCATCGTCAGACCTACCGCAAGCGACTTGCTGCTCTAGAGATGAAGCTACTTCGGATCGCCACCAGTGCACCACCCTACGTAACAAACTCAACCTTGCGTAGAGACCTGCATTGGGACACCATTCACGAGTACATGAGGAAAAAAGCGGAGAAGACCTTCCAGAAAGCTCAGGACCACCCGAACAAGCAGCTACGATTCCTCATGGACTACGATCCGGACGAGAGGCCTCGCAACCGCAGAACCAGGTACCCTAGACCAAGGTCCCAGTTGGCACCCGCTAACTGGAATCTTGACTAGGCGACTAGGAGAACCCGCGGTTGCTCCCCCCCCCACGGCTTGGATGCAGAGGACCAGGAAACACCGGGACCAGGACCAACCAGGACCAGGACCCGCCACGACCAGGACCCACCAGGACCAGGACCCTTCAGGACCAGGACCAGGAACAATATATAGGTAAGAGGACTTGAAACTCTTGATTTTTCGAAAACAAGAGTTTCAAGAGAACCTAGCAGACCCTCTATCGATGATCGCTTAACGACATCGATAGAGTGTGCGAGGTAAAGGGAACCAACCCGGCGTTCCCAGAGACTGAAACACATGAGGAGACGTTGTAGTAGACCGCAGGTCACGCACAACACATGGCCTACCGAGACGCTGATGAGTCGGGCCACGCGGAGGTTAGGGTTTAGTGGGTATTAGGTGGTCTCCTCAAGACAACCTGGAGTCCCACACACGCCGCAGCTCGGGCTATGGTATGGTGCGTAAACGCATTCCCCCCTCACCAAAAAAAAAAAAATTTCTACAATTTTCAATATCCTATCCGTCTTCTACCCAATTTTCGATTTCTACACAATTTCCAATGTACCGTTGTACTTCTACACAATTTCCAATGTATCGTTGTACTTCTACACAATTTCCAATTCCCTCATTGAATGTTCACATAACTTCGATTGCACTATTCGATTTATACGCAATTTCCTATGCTCCATTGGTTATTGATTTTTATCCGATCATAATTATATAATATCGCATTACATACATACACCCATGTTGAAAAGAAGCTTTGGCCAGCGGTCTAGTCCATTTTAGTTTCAGAAGGTGCTATAGTTTGTTGTCTGTGGTTCATTTTGCTAGCATCAGGAGCTGTTTTCCAGTATATTCTCGACTAATGAAATACTAAAGAGGGGAACCTGCATGAGGGGCTTTAGTGCTATATTAATATTCTTATCGTATTTTGGAATATAGAGCTTAGATAAACTAACCCAAGGAAGTTAACAATATAAGTTTAAATAACATGATCATTTACCTAGATCATTTTTCAACTAGGGAAAGAAAAGCAACTTTTCAATGGGTCATTGAGCTTGAGATATGATGATTCCTCTAGTTAGAGACACAAAATGCTAAACTTTGTGGCTTGTACTAAACCTCGCCAACAAATCCATAGACCAAAATTGAAGGGGCGTTAAGTTGTCAATCCTTCTGAGCTCCTGGGTACGGTGATGCCCCAGGTAACGACAAAGCAAGACTAGGGGCTAAAGATTCTTATCTGACCCTAACTTTCAACATCTGCGGTTTCGTATTGCCGTCAGAATAGACAGCCACGCAATAACTTTGAGATGTTACATTAAATGTAAAGCTTATTCATTACCTGTCCTTGTTTCTCTACATGTTGATGTGGGATTCCCCTTCTAGGAGCAGGTGTGCTATAAGTGTCTTGCTCGTTCTCTTCCACAGGAGCTGGTGAGGACTGTGGCACCAAAATATACTCTTGCTCGGGATCTGACGTGGTGTAATACCCTTGTAAAGGTACTATGGGCTTCACGGGGGCTGGACTAGGTTGAGGTACCAACATAACATCATGATGCGGAATAGGTGTGCTTTGGTACTCTTGAGAAACGACATTGTTTTTTGAAGCAGGAGGTGCTACAGTTGACTGTTGGATGGTGTTCCTAGCCTTCTCCAGCATAGCTTCCCTTTGGGCTTCTATAGCCTTGTATTGGGCTTCAACCTGGGCCTGCGCTTGTTGCTGAGCTTGGAGCAACATTTGCTCCGCTTGCTGTTTTGCAGCTTCGTTCAAACGGTTTTGGAGCTTCTCGAGAGCTCCGTTTTTAACGTCTTCATCAGATAATGACGCGGGCAGTTCTTCGTGATGTTGTTGTGGCTCTGCATCTTGCTGAGGAAACTGAGCGGGTTTTTGAGAGTGTTGAGGACTCTCGTGACCTTGTGGTTGTTGGAAATGTCGAGGTTGTTTTACTGTTGAAACAACATGTCTTTGTTGGCCATTCATTTGCAACAATCTCTTCAGACCTTCCAGCTGAACGTTAGGATTTTTACCAATCAAGTCGTTGAGCTCGTTGACTTGGACTCCCTGGGCGTTCCTAAACATGTCTGGGTGTAGATACAGTATCTCTGCGTTTGCTATATAGCTATCTTTTCTATCTTCAGACGAAGCCTTGCCTTCTCCTTTCCCAACCGTTGTATGATTTGCATGATACTCCTTAGAGCCTCTCTCCCTGACTCTTCTAACTTTAGGTGTAAAAGGCTTCCAATCCTCATCATTCTCAGACCACGATGCCTTCTTTTCTGGTTTATTACTCCTCGAGTTCCTATAATACCTAGCTATATCTACCATCTGTTGCTGAGCATATTTAGCTCTCAACAGGTCTTGTTGCTTAGCCATTCTATAGTCGAACACAGGAGGCTGGTAGAAGGGTTTATCGTGAAGTTCTTTGGGGTTTCTGACGGTCCTGATGTTGACAGGATGCTCTACGACTTCTTCGTATACCTCCGGTACACCGCAGGTAATGAAAGAGATCACGCAGGCGACGAAGATCTGAAAACAAATAAAGAATGTTAGACTACCTGACACGTCAATATCGAAGTTGGAATCTAGGAAAAATTTGCGATAACTCGACAGTTCAATTCTTAAACCAAAGCCAGAACCTTTTTATAATATTCGTAACGTCATAAAAGGTAGATAAACCGGTAGTAATAACAAAAACTGCCTACCTCCACCATCTTTTTTGTGACTTTTGTGGATGGGCGGTTTTTTAGTGTTTTCTAAATTATTTTCTGCCTTTTGTGAACAATATTTAGGCGTAAGCGTGTCAGGTATGTAAAAATGATTTCCCATTGTTTCTTATATGATTAATATTTTGAATACATAAGAAACATTACTTCAGTGTGAGGTTCATCAGATATACTAAGTGACATATAAATCCGAACACCCAGTTTAAATGGTTTTATTTTAATAAAAGTTGGTGAATGTATTTATCTTACTGTAAATAACAAGTGAAAAAATTTTCAGCCTTATCAGTTGGACACTCCGGTTTTTATACTGCTTTTTTTTAATTCACTAACGCTCTAAAAATGAATATTTCAGCCGCAGTAAAGAATCAACGTTGGCGGATATTGGTTCTTCATCCTTTACGATCGGTTACGATGCCTAGAGTACGGAGACCTGTACGAGTTTGATAGGGGCCGTATGGTGGGACTTCGGGAAGCTGGACTTTCTTTTCGGGCAATTGCAGTTAGAGTGCAAAGAAGTGTAGACACTGTGGTTAGGTGTTGTCAGGCATGGCTTCGAGAAGGCCGTACGCAAAGAGCAAGGGGCACTGGACGCCGCCGTAGAACAACAGACCGTGAAGATCGCCGCCTAAGATTATTCGCCTACCAGGTGAATGAATGGTTTGCAGAACACGGAAGACCTATTGGCATGCGAAGTGTTTACCGACGAATGAGAAGTTTTGGCTTGTTTTCATACCGGCCACACTGGGTCCTCCCTTTAACTCGAGAACACCGACGTAATCGCCTTGAGTGGTGCAGACAACGGTCACTCTGGGATCAGGAATGGAACAGTACTGTCTTTAGTGACGAGTCTCGATTTTGTTTAGGCATGCACCATGGTCGTGCAAGGGTTAGAAGGCGACGTGGTGAAAGGAGGAATCCACAGTTTTTTGTTGAAAGACATGTTCATCACACTGTTGGAGTTATGGTTTGGGGTGCTATAGCTTATGGTTCCAGGTCACCTTTAATCTTCATCAGCGGTAACATGAACGCGCAGCGTTAGATCAATGAAGTTCTAGAACCCCATCTTTTACCCTATCTTGACACCCTGGCAGATCCAACTTTCCAACAAGATAATGCCCGACCACATGTTGCAAGAGTCACAACAGACTTCTTTCAACATAATGATGTCACATTGTTATCATGGCCAACAAGATCTCCCGACTTATCCCCAATTGAGCACGTGTGGGATATGATGGGTAGAAGATTGCTCAATTTACAACGTCCTCCTCAGACTCTAGAAGCACTTCGAGAGGAGTTGGTGGTTGCCTGGAATGAGATACCACAGGAGGACATTGACCACCTGATCAGAAGCATGCCTAGGCGCGTTGGAGAATGCGTAGCACATCAGGGTGCATCCACACATTATTAAAATTAAGTAAACCGAAAAAAAAGGTGTTTGTAGCATTTAGAAAATCTTTAAAACGACTGTTCACCCCAAAATCATATTCTTCCCGTGTTACTTGATCAAAAATTAAGCGATTTACAGGATCCATGAAAAATAAAAATTGAAATAAAAATGACTTAATTTGTCAGATATTGACAAGTGAGGCGTTGTTGAGGTCAGAATTTCATTCTCGATAGCAATAAGTAAAAATATATAGGGTGTCTCATTTAAAAATCGAAAGTTGGAGTAGTTTCCGGTCAAACCTGAAGTACGTCAAAGCAAGTGAACATGTCAAAAAATGTAAATTCATCTATAATACGCAACCCAGAAATTTCGTTTTTCTATTTTCAATAATAAAAAAGTTGTGAGAGACTTTGTGTACATTTTTCGTGATTCTCAGGATCAACCTCCCCTCCCGCCTCCCCCGAGGAAAGTTGTAACCCCCCGCTCTTCAAACAGTTTTAGGGGCAGATGCAATAATGATCTGCAAAAAGTTGTCGAGGCAGGTACACTTCCACAGAAAACAGAGAAAAATATCCTTACCCCCTAAGAAAAATGTCTGCGGCCGCCTATGGAATCGTTTTTCATTGTTGCCAAAAGTGGAACATGTACATCCCCCCGTATTCCCTTCATCCCAAACCCCAACTTTCAATCCCTCCGAAAAAGTTTTTTGATAATGAACGGAGGTCTGAAACGTTGAAAAACGAAGACATTTACTTATTTTTTTGTTACTTTTTTTTTCTCTTTGGCGTACTTAGTAACTTATAACACAATTTCTTCAAATTCTGGCGTTCCTGTCAAAGCTATAGAAGGGTCTAGAATTAGCGAACAGACTGACCGAAATAATTGACATGATCTTTCTTGATACATGTACTCGTGATATCCAAAAAGCACGGTATCTCATTTTCAAAAATTCCTCACCAATTGTCCAATGTTTACATATATACCCAGAGTTAATCTCATCGACTCTTATCAAACCTCAACTCACAATTTAACTGCATTATTAATAAGATAACGCTTTTAGACTAATTGATGAGTTACGTATATCATAGGAAGAGAAAGTAGAGTGCTATAGGGATAGGTAAGCATAACATTCATTATATCTTTTGTTAATGAATATCCATCTAGATTTATGAGGTTCGTTATAGCAAACGGAATATAATACGTTAATCTCTTCATTAAAACAATGTACAACTATAAAAATAATAGTAAGTGAAGGTACTGAATATATTCCACAAAAGTGATAGTGAGCGCAGAAATGAAATGTGTCTCACTTGGAATGGGAGCGTGATAATTTACTTCATGTCCATTTGTAGCTAAATGGTCAGTTCAGTAATTATAGCCTTAGGTGTCCATCAAAATAGGATCTACATGGTGGTCGTATATACAGGGTGTCCGCAAAGTTGGTGTTTTCCTTTACCCGACGTGTAGATCTTGAAAACATAAGCAATTTTTGTTAGTACCATATACACCAATGTCTTAAGGGAACCGAGATAAAGGTCTCTGCAACATCAAAAGTATCTGAATACCGTCGTGTAGCCGCGACCCGGGACATCACCGATTGGTACAAGGTCTCAACCCGACGGCAGAACTGGGTCGGGGTCAGTGTGTCAGGTCAGTATGCAACCTTCAACCGACGGTTACGGTCACGCGTGTAGAGGTAAACGAACCCATATAATCGATTGCGTTTCAAAAAACAACAAGCACCAGAGACGTGGCTAGAGAAGTGCAAGTATCAAAAACTAAAGTGTGGCAAACGCTGCGTGAAGAGGGGCTGTATCCGTTTCACGTCCAACGTGTACAAGCCCTTCAACCTGACGATTTTCCAGCAAGAGTGCGGTTTTGTGAGTGGTTGTTGCATCAACATGACAATAATCCGGACTTTTTGACGTGCGTATTGGTGACAGACGAATCTACGTTCACGCATAATGGGGTGAATAACTTTCGCAACACTCATGTTTGGTCATTACGCAACATTTTGCTTGCCTTGTTTGCGTCTGCTCGGTAGCGCATCAGCTGATTTCATTTTCTGTTGGAGCGGTATGATTTCGGGCAGAGACGTACTTAGCCCTTCTCGTCAACTGGAGAGTGAGTACTTTTTCCTTTATTTTTTTACTTGGTCGCCCTCGTTTCACTACATATTACCTTTGTTATTTCAAGGGTGGTTGTTACTGAAAAGGAAAACCCCAACTTTGCGGACACCCTGTATTTAGAATTATTATTATTTTTATACAACATACATCTACTTTTTATAAGAGGCTTCATTTAAGATACCTGTCTTGACCTTCAAATGATCTTGACGGTCATAATCAAAGACACGTTCAAGCTCACGAAAAGATGAACTTTTTCAAACTTTACAACTTTGCTCTACAACATTTTTCTATACGAAACGTATTTTTCGAAATATCTTGGTCTATCCATTCGCGGTTAATACCATGACTGTAACCCCAGATCACTATAACCTTCTTCGGATTGCAATTAGGTGCACAAAATTTCAGGTCTCCTTCAGACAGAGTAAACGCTCATTCACATTTATATATACAGAGGAATCCAAATATCACTGAAGTCGTAACGTGATGCTGTGAGGACGCCTTATTTGAAATGATAGTTTTAACACAAGTGACAAGAGAAGAAAATAGCTCTGTACGATTTGGGTCCTCCTCATCCCCTTGTATAGTTGCTGACTTCAGGGGTAATAAGGATGCCTTAGATCGGAAAAGGCATTCTTTTGATATTTGACAACTCTCTTAAGCGGCCTCAGTGGACAATCATGCGCAGTGAGTATGGAATGTTTCTATTACTAATTATATCCAATTTAACTCGTTTACTTGTTTTCCACTCTCATTAAGATCTAAAAAAAAAAAGAAAATAAAACCAAGTCCATGCATAATTCAGATAATTTTAAAACGTACACATTAATAAATAAATGATTATTGCTAACCATCTTCCAGCGATGAAACCTCAACTTTAAGACACTTATCTATGTCAAAACGCTTATGATTAAATTTTCATTAATGACAATGTAAATATTTCTCTAGAAATTTAAACTAATTAATAGATTGAAAAATGACACATGTTCCCACTTCTGCACAATCTGTCGAAAACAAATATCCTCGTATAAGTATTTTTCTCTGAATAGTGTCTAAGTATACCTTTCTTCTCAACGGAATGCTTCACATATAATCAATGTAGCTATAAAGTGTGATTTGCGTTGGTTATGTTATAACATCTGTCAGAACATCGACATCTGCTGCATAGACTTTCACTGGCGTTAAGCAAATTATGAAATTGTATTATAGAAACTTTATGTAAGATTACCTCGAGATGATACACATGAACATTTTCTTTATTTCCTGTTCATATTATTACAGCTCATGAAT